ACTTGACCTTCTCCATCTCAGAACGCTGCAGAGCTTTTCTTTCTGTACAGAGGGAAGTTTAAGTCCCGGGAACAGCATTCAGGGCCACACACAACGTGAGCCCAGCCCACCTGTCCAGAGCCCCTGCCGCATCCCCTTCACCTACTCTGCTCTAGTCAGTGAACAGGACGTGCCCCTTCGTGTCTATCGAGGCCACTCACTCTCTGGGAAGCTTGCCCTGGCCGCTCCCGGGAGCATCCTGAAGTCCCCTACGGCCGGCGGTGCCTGGCTCCTCCCGCACGGTTACCCCAGCGCTTTGCACATTGCGGGCACCTGGCGGATGTTTGCTGAGCAGAAGTGAACTGCAAGTGCAGTGCTTGTACTTGGATTCATTTAGTGTTTATTGACCACCAGAAACCACGGGCAAAAAGACTGATCTACTTAATTACCTTAAACTGTAAAACACTGCTCAGAAATGAAAACACAAAGTTAAAAGACAAACTGGGAGAAATATACAGAATACATTTGACAAAGAGGTAATTCCCTTACTATACCAAGAGTTCCCCAAATTGCTCACACCAACAATCTAAAAAAAAAAAATGAGCAAAGGAAATAAATACGCCCATTCCATTTTTCACTCATCAACTTACAAGGATGAAAGTTTTAAAGTGCCCAGTGGGACTGAGGGCGTGAGGAACGAAAACTCTCAGGCTTTGCTTCTGGGAGTGCGAGTGTGCTTCCTGTGGGAGGGGGTTTAGCAACATCTACACGATGCAAACTACTGAAACCTTCCACTCCTACACACGTAGCGTACACATAAAAACGGAACAAGCAAAGAACCGCAGCTGTCGCCCCGTTCCTAAGAGGGGACCCCTCAGTGGGAGACTGGTTCCAAGACGGTGTACCTGCACAATGAAAGAACTAGAGTAAATCTGTAACCACACGTGGGGAGTTGTTCCAAACTACATTGCTAAGTGAGAAAAGCAGAGGGCCTCCACTCACGTGCTAGGATGTGCCTTTGTGCAAAACAAACAAACAAACATACAGACACGCTCGTGCAAACGTAAAACCGTGAAAACCACTGACGCTGGCTGCTCCTGGGCAGATCTATTTACATTGTAAACCCGTTGGCATTGTTTGAACCTGCGTGCTTTTCCTTTTTACTTTTTTTTAAATCAATTTATTTATTTTCGGCTGTGTTGGGTCTTCGTTGCTGCGCGCGGGCTTTCTCTAGTTGTGGCAAGTGGGGGCTACTCTTGGTTGCGAGGTGCAGGCCTCTCATTGTGGTGGCTTCTCTTGTTGCAGAGAACGGGCTCTAGGCGTGCAGGCTCAGTAGTTGTGGCATGCGCGCTCAGCAGTTGTGGTTCGCCGGCTCTAGAGCATAGTCTCAGTAGTTGTGGCACGTGGGCTAAGTAGTTGTGGCTCACGGGCTCTAGAGCACAGGCTCAGTAGTTGTGGCACACGGGCTTAGTTGCTCCGCGGCATGTGGGATCTTCCCGGACCAGGGCTCAAACCTGTGTCCCCTGCACTGGCAGGAGGACTCCTAACCACTACTCCCCCAGGGAAGCCCTGAACCTGCAAATTTTTCATTGTGTTCAATTTTAAAAGCCTTCCCTCCCCAAACACATACACAGCTTTGATCCTTTATTACGTACTAGACGTTTGCCAGGCATTATGGGCAGAACCACAAATGACACTGCTGCATCCTCCAGGAGCTTTCAGATAGATACAGTGATTCTCAAAAGGACTGGTTTTGCATACCACACACACATGGAACCTGCGATGAGACGCTTCCTACCAGCGTGAGATGCACGGGAACACGGTAAAATACCTTCTATGCATCTTGTTAGTCGATAGTTGCTTCCAAAGGCCTGCCTGCCTCCCAAATTTCTCTAGGCACCTACTCACGTCCTGACACAATTAATTTATTAGCTTCACCTCTCCCGAAGTAGAATCGTAGAAAGAGAAATTAAAAGAGTGGCAAATTTAACAGTGATGACGTGGGAAACCCCTGGGACTCTGTCCCTTCAAGTGGTGCAACAAGATCTCTAACAACCAGGTTACAAGAATAGTGTCCCAAAGTCAGCAGGGTGTGTGCAAAGGTGTAAACAAGAAGTTAGCAAACTACTGAAGACAAAGTTAGAACTGAACAGTGTTGCCTGGGTAGAACCTGGGTAGAGCCATATGCTCACATATGTTAAGAGTTTGCTGATCAGAAATCCCCAGTTAGTCTGTCTTCAAAAGTACTTCACAGAAAACACACCTATAGATACCAATCATCGAGGAGCTGCACCATCACTACAAAACTACAGTGATCAGGACAGTGCACGACTGGCATAGACATCAACACAGGGATCAGTGGGACACAACTGAGGTCCAGAAACACTTTCACAAACACAATCAGCTGCTGTGCCACAAAGGTGCCAAGACAATTCAGGAGAAACCACAGGCTTTTCAACAAAAGAAGCAGGGACGACAGGCAGGGCAGCCACGTGTGCAACAGAATGAAGTTGGACCCCTACCTCACACCACATTCAAAAATTAACTCAAAATGGATCAAAAACCTAAACATAAAAGCTAAAACCATAAAACTCTTAGAAAAAACGTAGATGTAAACCTTTGGACCTTTTCTTAGATATGTCACCGAAAGCTACAACAAAAGATGAATTGGACTTCATCAAAATTAAAAGCTTTTGTGTCTCAAAGGACACCACGAGGTGAAAATACAACCCACACAGAATGGGAGATAAAATTCACAAACCATGTATCTTATAAGGGACTTGTATCTAGTATGTAAGGAACTCTTGACAACTCAGTAATAAAGATACACAACCTAATTTAAAAATGAGCAAAGGACCCGGAAGAACACTTCTCCAAAGAAGATATACAAGTGGCCAACACGCAAGTGAAGATGCTCAGCATCGCTGGGCCTCAGGGAAACGCAAATCAAACCCACAGTGAGACCCCAGCTCACGCCCACTAGAATGGCTGTCACCAAACGCAGATAATAAGGGTTAATGAGGATGTGGAGAAACTGGAACTCTGATACATTGCAAAATGGTGCTGCCACTTTGGAAAACAGTTTGCTGGTTCCTCAAAAGGCTAAACACAGTTACCGTATGACCCAGCAATTCAACTGCTAGGTATACATCCAGAAAGAAATTAACGTCCACGCAAAACCTCGTGCACAGAAGTTCAAGAAGCAACATGACTCATAAAATAGCCAATAGTGCAAACAACCCAAATACCAATCAACTGATGAGTGTATAAATAAAAGGTGGTACAGCCATACAATCAAAGGTTACTCAGCAGTGAAAGGGAATGAAGTACTGATACTCGCAACAGGAACGAACCTTGAAAACATGAGGCTAAGTGAAAGACGCCAGCCACCAAAGACCACATGTCGCATGGTTCCATTTCTGGGAATGTCCAGAACAGGCAATTCTAGAGACAGAAGGTACGCTGGCAGTTGTCTACGTGCTGGGGAAGTGGAGGAAGGGTGGTATTAGGAGGAAAGGAACTGTGTGCTAACAGGTACAGGCTTGCTTTCTGGGGTGATGCCCCCTAAAATCCATTGTGGGGCCACCTGCACAACTTTGTCAGTTCACTAAAAACCATTGCATTGTACACTTTAAATAGATGGCTTATATGGTTTACAAACTGCATCTCAATGAACCTGCTGTTAAAAAAAAAAAAAAAAAGAGCTAGGCCAGGACAAATAGCTACCGGATGAATGCTGCTATTGGTATGTACCTTTAAAAGGGTGACATTAAAATTCCAAACCCTTGAACAAGCTTAAAAGTACTGAAATGCTTCTTACACACTATGTATTAGTTTCTTGTCAGCTCCTATTTTAACCCATCATTTTAGAGCAATCAGTACAAATCAAAGAATTTCTGAAAGAATCCATCTTTTATTCAAATAGAATCACATTTGGAAATCAAGATCATATGGTTTAAAACCATCTGACCTGGGTTTTGGATTCAGACCAACGAGAAGGATAGTCTGTTGTCAGCATCCGTTAAAACACTACTCCTGCTCCAGGACCAGATGAAAACAAGGGACACAAACTATTTGTTTTCGCTGACTTTATAAGTACATTAAATTTTATCAAATAATGTATCTTTTACAATTCTGTAAATGAAACAAACTGGATTTTAAAAGGTGGTGAGTCTGAGAGCTGCTCCACAATCCACCCTGTCACTATGCTGAACGTTCCTGTTTTCGTATCATTAAATGAAGCTGAGCTCTGGCCTCACCCGGTGCTGCAATCACTTGATGAGCCCCAAACTCTCCTGGTCCACCTCACCCTGCAAGCAGAGATCCTACTTCTGAAAGTATCACCTTTTCTTTCCATTACTGTGGTTCAAGGATACTACGCCTTCACAAGGTTGTCCAGTATTCATAGATTTTATAGAATCCTTTGACTAAGCCTTTCCTTAAAGAAAGAAAATGAAGACAGCCGGTTCTTTTTCACGCCACTTCAGCCAACCTTGCCTTTCCCCTGCTCCCCTAACCTTTTTAAACCGAGGTACGTGAGTGAAGTCAGGGCAGGGATCTAACGCACTGGGATTAGACGCCCACCACGCAGCCACCCTGGACTTACCTTCCCGTCTTCTCCCCACCACTCAGTCCGCCACCTCACCCTCCAGGGGGAACCGTCTACACACTGCTCTCCAGATGTGGCTCCAGCTTTCCCTCCATCATGTCGTCACTCACATCACAAGCACTGCTTCCCTTTCACCCCCATTAAGTCCTTCCTCGTTTCCGACTTACTTCTCTTTCGAAACTCAGCGGAAAAGCTCGACTCTTCATGGACTCTTTCCTGACGCTCCCCTGCCTTCAGGAAGTCTTGTAAACTCGGTGACACGGCACAGCCAGAGCGGCCTGCTCTCGTTATGGCACTGAGAGCAAACACAGAGGACACAGGGCTTCCCCTGGTGGAATCTGAGATCTGTCTGGGTAAGGCCTGGAAGGTCTTAAGAAGTTACCGTAACCACTTATTAAACATATTCATCTGCTTCTGAGTTAAATAAACCACTTTAATGCAAACACTCAATAGGGCATCTTGCCCATTGCTTGCAAGATTATGTCTCTCTCTGCTGCTGTAGGCATAGACGGCTTCACTCCATCCCGTCTTCTCTGGATCATGATAGAATTCTGTGTGTATGTGCAAAAAAGAAAAACCAAAATCAGTCAAGTACTAAATGCGAATCAGTTACCAGTAATCTGCTATTGTGGTCTTCAGAAAGGAAACGTAAAAAACCGAGTTTAAAAAAAACAACAAAGAATGCATTCTAGGACTCCAGATACTGTTTTCAGACGATTCTCAATTAAACAGAAGTGATTGTTCCCACAGGAATATGTTAACTGTAACTGGGGTGGGGACACACTTTGTAACTTCAGGCCCATCGAGAGGAGCTACGGAGTAACGGCCAAATGAAACCAACAGGTAAGCTAGCAGAGGGACAGGAAGCAGCTGGATCCAGAGCTCAGAGAAACAGAAATTATATGGCAACGTCCGCCAAAAATGGGACCACGGGTGATGGCGGGAGAGGAAGAAGAGAAAAGGAAGCCTGATGCGTGTTGTGACGGGGCGAGCCACCTATTCCGCTCACCTCCAGAAAACTCCAATTGTTAACAAGGCTATCGCTTTAGGGCCGCAGGCACTTATGCACGTAGGAAGACACACCTCTATCAGAGCTGCGTCCTTACACGTGGGCAGAGGGTGAGGCAGCTAACGAGAGCGCCCAAGGATCCTTTAGGGCACACGGAGGATAAAGTCAAAAAGGTAAGTTTCCGACAGCCATCACTAAGGAAGGATTGTGGGTGCTGACAAACTTCAGGCTTCAGTTTCAAGCTGAGCAGATGAGTTTCAACATAAAGGTAACCAAACTAGGCTTACCCAGAACTTCCGGCAGTTTTTGTACTTCAAGAAGTGAGCGGAACACCTTTCTTTGTCATAGTTATATTCATCCATACATCTGGTAGAAGCATCAGATTCCTTAAATATGTAAGATAGGTATCATTTAAGAGGTGGAATGGCATCTAAAAAAAAACAAACTTCTGAAGCTGCTTCCCCCCCAGAGCAGGTAATGTGAAATAGTTCCTTTTTGTTCATTTGAACGAACAGATAATGAACAGGAACAGAATTATCTTTCCAACTATCCCAGCATTCGTTCTGCTCAAAGCAGACATCTTCCTTTTCACAGTGGCGTCAGTTTTCTGAACACCTGATCACAGGAATTTGAGTCGAAGCACTGACTGAGATCACTTAACCCAGTAACCGGTCAATGAACAGGCCGAGGCAAGGTGCAACATGCTCAAGATCACGGTGCAAGGAGTTCCCTGGCGGCTCAGTGGTTAGGCCTCGGTGCTTCCGCTGCCGGGGCCTGGGTTCAATCCCTGGTCTCGAAACTAAGATCCCACAAGCCACACGAGGCGGGCTGGCGCAGGGAGGGAATCACTGCTGTACGTGGAAGCAAAACTCAGTCTCCCGACTCAGAGGGCAGCTCTCCCCCCCTCCAAGTTCTCGCTTGGCCTTGAATGTTTGAGTTAAGGTGGTTTCGAGAACCTAAGTAAGTTGCTAATGACTGGTCTGCAAGGTAACTTAACGACATTCATCTCAACGTGTGTTCGGCTATCATTTGCTCCATTACGCAAGTAAGTACACAATTATGCAAGCAATTTTAATAGGTTATCATTAATATCACTTCAAAACCACAAGGAGCAACACAGGGCTAAGAGTTCAAAGGAGGGTAGCTGCCATTTGGGAGTTAAATTTCAGCTGTCTGAACTGGAAGTAGATTGGAGAACAAACTTCAAAGTGAAAGGCATGATTCCGAGAGTCCAGCTAAAGGGAAGCTTTAAATAAAGGGGAAGGTAACTTCCTTCACAGATCTAAGAAACATGGTCTAGCTAAAGAGACTTAGTAAAGCCGTTAAACAGATGTCATATATGTAGCAAAGCTAATCTTCTAAGCCAAATATTTAATGAATGTGTATATTTGGAAAATGCATATAGGATCGGGAATATAATTTTCATAGCACCAGTCCAACGACTGCATTATTCAAGGGTGACAATGCCACAAGTAAGAACCGCTAAATCTTACCAAATAAATGCCAATAAAGCTTTACCATTACAACGAAATGTTTTGTTTACATGATACCTTTGTGAAAACCTTCAGGCTTTAAATAGCCTAATTCAGTTCTCAACCCTCATCCTCAGCAGGTTGTCTCAGGGACATGATGAAGGCGTTGCTATCAAAACATAAATTTCAGGGACGATTTAAAAATACCTACTTTCCATCTTTGCATGTTTGGACTCAAGAATTTGCTCTGTGTTACACATGCTTGTCTAGTATAACAGTGATGTTACACAAATTAGGGAAACTTAAAAGAGATGAATCCTTGTTAGCTAGATTATGAATATCTAAAAATGCTCTAGTGAAATAAGGATACACAGGCCAGGAATATTTCTCGTACAGAAATAACTTTATTTAAGAACTGCAGAAAACTGACGCCCACAAAATCAGAAGAAGCCTGTTTTTCCAACTCGATACTCACGACAATTAAAAGCGATCTGGCTTACCAACAAGCAAGGATTTATGTCAGGATCTCTCAGCCTTCCAGCTACCACGGGCATCCTACCTGTCTTCTTCCTGCAGGCAGATGTTGGGGAAGAGTTACACAGTGGATGACAATATAAGCTAGTAAATCTCATCAGCTCCACAAGTACTTGAAAAGTTAATTCTGCCATAATGATTATCCAGTGAGGAACTCATATAACCTCTGTATTTTCAGAGTAAAGACTTGGATGTGATTCTCCTTTGCACTGACTTGTGCCTCAGCACAAAGGCCTTATTTAAATTCCTAAAGTGCATCTACTGAAATTTGATTACAATGTCCAGAACAAAAGATAGTTCAGCTAAAATTTGGTTTTCGTTTACTCCTATTTCTAAAGGTTAAGCAATTAAATGTATTAATGAAACCTAAGAATACCGCATGCACTCTATTACTTCCTTATTATATATGGATTAGCACACAAAATAAGGGTGGAATACTTTAGTACAACCCAACTTTAGCAAAAACATTTGTTAACTAAAGTACATGAATGTCTACTCCATGGCCAGCCCTGGGATGGCCGATATACCAAAAACAAAAACAAAACGAAGTTATTACTTAGTTGACATTCTGAAAAGTTAAAAAAAGAAAATCTGAAACTTAACTTCCAGGGGCATCTTCTATTTAGCTGATACTTCCCAGGGTTGAAGGAAGTCAGGGAATGCTACTGTAGAGCATTCATCTTCCAACTAAAGCCGTATACAGAGATACAGCTCTGAAGAAGCCTTTATCCATTAAAGATGACCACAGTTCTCTAAGGGCCAATTAGTGATTCCAAGTCAAGCTGTATACTCATATAACAAGTATGTCGACTCTATCCCAGGACAACTACTCTCTATAATGAAGTTAATTGAAATTGGTATACTATTATCTTCAAAGACATGTCATAGAAATGAACTAAAAGGGAAAACTAAAAAAAAATAATCAACTGACTGTTAATTACTAAAAGGTAATTTTTTGTTTATTTCAACGTATTAGCATACTATCGATTAAGCCACCCACAAATATTTTTAAATGCTCTGCACTAAGTTTAAGGAACTTACTCCTGAATGGTGTTCTAGCTTAACTGTCTTTTACCTAGAGGTCTAAGAAGAAGCCAGCAAATAATGCAGTATGACTTACCAAAAACACCACTGAATAAAAACTGCATCAGTATAACCAGACAGAGCTCAGAATTTTTGTACAAAGTGGTTTCTACTTTCCTTGCCCAAGATGGGACCATCAAAACATATCAGTCATGTTAAAAGAAATAAAGTACATTCAGGAAAAACAATCAAACCCCACCAGCTCCTGAAAAGTGAAGGTATTCTGAATCTTGAGTCAACTAGTTCCGTTTCTCTATTAAGAGAAAGATCACGATGTCCAGGCTAAAGGAGATAACCTCTGCAAAGAAGGATGGAAAAAAGTCTAATCGTTCGGGGGTCTTTTCAGTACCCACTAAGTAATCCTTCTATTTTATCATCTTCACTGACCAATACATGAGTATACCTAGCTAGCAGAAACATCTTAGCAAAAAGGAAATTCAAGATGCTGTTCAACTATATGTAGAAGCTTCTTCCTCTCCTGAATACAATTCCTTTGCAGCCTTCACTTCTTATGAGAGGTGAGGGCACTAAGTAAATTCACAGCCTTCCTTTCTACATCTGTCCTATGCTGTGAGAGCAAAGAACTCTGCTTAGTTGTTCATATGCCTTGGATATAATCTCAACAACGATCAGACGCAGACAGAACTCAGGTTGCCTGCCTCCTGTGAAAGTGTTCTGGTTCGCATTTTATCATTGTCATGGGTCAGGAATTCTTTACAAATAACACCGAGGTAACATCACATATACCGAATCAGGTCTGCTGTAGGAGTTTATCCACCTTTCATTTCCTCTCCCTTCCGGATTCTAAATACAAGTCAATCTAAGTTTGGATTTCCGACTGTCACCTTCTTTGCATGAATCCTCATGTATCAACTGGAAATGAAGAGGAAATGTCAGTTTACAGTGAGGAGCGGGGCTGAAGTCAAGTTCGAGTGTTCCGCCAGCGAGGCCTTATCTACTTAGTTTCTGAAGGTACCAAACAAACGTGACGAAGCTCTACTTGCAGGGGACAGTCAGAAAGAAACCAACGATTTGAGAGAGGGGCCGCAAAAGCACGGCACGTTTGAGGAATAGCCCTAAAATCTTTTCCAAAGGGCAAACTGCTTTAAAAAGTATTTCTTGATTTCCCACCCAGTGGTTCAGGTCGCCACTCCGAGCAGCTCTGCAAAGGAAGGGGGACGCGAACGCTGCTGACCCGTCCAGCCCACCCCTCCCGTGCTGGTCCTTACCCAGGCAGGGGTTGCGGCCCTCCCACACCGCAGGGCAACCGTCGGGAAGCTGAAACACGTCCTGCGAGGCCCTCAAGCCTTCAACCCACGGCTGGGTGCAGGCAGGCAGGGTCAGGAAGTAGCGGTGGCCCTGCGGAGGGGGCGGGGAAGGCGAACGGAGACTCTGGAGCCAGGCGAGCCCCAGGCCCCGCTACCTCCAACGAGCTGCCCGGCCCCCCGACGGCGGCCGCAGGTGAACCCACCTTGCCCCGACCTTCACCTTCGACGGCGCCCAGAAGAGCAGGGGGAGAGGAAAACGCAGGGAACTGGGGGCAGGGCTAGGCATTTACGCTCCAAAGGCTGGGAAAAAGGGTGAAGGAAGGGTGAAGGAAGGGCCGGGGGTGCCCAGGCAGGGGGCAACTTCCTCGTCCCCGGCCCGAGAAGACCCGTGTTGCGGGGAGGATGTGACGGGAAGGGGCCCGCGCCCAGGCGAGGCCTGGTGGAAGCGGCGTCACGCCGGAAAAGCGGATGCGGGCCCCGCGGCGGCCCAGGCGCGCCAGTCTCTTCCCGAAGCCCGGCAGCCGCCGCAGAGGGAAGGGCGGGGAACTACTCACCTCGGGCTGCCGCTTCACCAGCGCCCAGGCCGTCTCCAGCTCCAAACACGTCAATGGCTCACGCAGCGGGACCTTAAGTAGCGCGCATCCCAACGTGCTGCCCCCGCTCCCCGGCGGCCGCCGGCCCAATCGGGGCGCGCCGCCGCCTGACTGACAGCTGAGCGGGGCCTGGCGCGGCGGGGGCGGACGGGCCTCGCCCCGCCCCCGGCCGGCGGGAGGAGGGCCGAGGCGGGAGGAGTGGGCGGGGCGGCGCGCGCGGCCCCGCCCCGCGCGACCCCCCCCGCGCCGCGGCCCGCCTCTTAACACTTCGGCTTGACGGGCGGCGTGGAAGGCCAATCGGCGGGCCCAGCTGCGGCGGCGGCGGCGTCCAGTGGTCGACCCCGGGGCGGAGCTTGCGGGGGGGGCGGGCACAGCGGCGGGCGGGGGCAGGGGGCGGGCCGGCGGGAGGCGGGGGCGGCGGCCGAGCGGGCCGGGGGAGGCAGCGGTGGGCGCGACGTCGGCGGCGGCGGCGGCGGCGGCGGCGGCAGCTGCAAGTTGGGCTGCAGGGGCAGCGCATACACTACAATGGCTGCTGGAAAGAGGCGTAAGGAAACAATTTCCAGGCCCGCCGCGTCCAGCCCGAAATATGAGAAAAAAATTATTAGAAATTCCGCGGGCGGTGTAAAGGCGGCGGACGGGCCGGAGGGAGGATGTTAAAGCCCCGCGGTGAGTTCTCCCGGGGTCCGGGGCGGCGGAGAGGCGTTTAGCGGGAGAAATATCAGGGTTATTTAAATTATGGGACTCGCCGAGGGGGCAGAGGAGCCGCGGCGGCGGCAGGAGGAGGAAAAGTTTGTGCTACTCTCAGCCCCTGCTCAGGACCCCAGAGAGAAAAATAATAATAAAAAATAAAATAAAATCATTCAGCGGGGGTGCGAGGACTCCCGGAGTCGCTGCTGACAGGGCAGGGGGCGATGCGGCTGGAGACCCGAAGGTGAGGTCGGTGGGAAAAAAAAAAAACCCTTTCTTCAGGGTCTGGAAAGTTTGAAAAGTTTTCCTCCTCCTCCTCCGCTCTGGTGCTGTGAATATTGTGACAGCGGCAGCGGCAGCAGCGAGAGCGGAAGACATTAGAGACCCGAAAAATAAGGGAAAAATTAATATAAATTCAGTTTTACGAGTAAACTCTCCGCATTTTCCACCAAAACATCCCGGGGGAAGGTCGCTTCCCAAAGGGCCTGGCGGAAACCCGCAGTCGGCAATATTTGGGGGGCACTTTGAGTGACTTGGGGGAACTTTGCCCCTTTTTCAAAAGAGGTTTTTCTTTTTTGGAGAAACGGATTTGTTTTTGCCCTTTCCTCAGGTGGGCGAGTCGGGGTCGGGGTGCGGGGTCTACGGGGAGGTGTGAGCCCGGGGTGTGTGCCTGCGGGAGGAGGGGTGGTAAATGAAAGCAGGAGATCTGCACAGAGCAGGGACAGCTTGTTGTCAGTATCATAAACAACCAAAATGGAGGGAGAACTCAGGCATATAACCAAATAAAAATTTTTTAAAAATCGCAAAAAAATCCCAAAAAATCCGGGATGCTCCCCCTTTTCTCGCTCAAGGTAGAAGGATGAACCGCCTTTCCCCTGAAGCCCATTTTGACTTTGCAGGGACCAAGGAGTTAATATTTATTTATTTTTTAAAACTTTCGAAGGGCAAAAGCCTTTTATAACTCAACCGACAATGAGAAAACGTGAAAATCCGATGCTCGAGAAGGAGGGGGAGGGAGGGGGGGAGGTGGTAGTGCAGAAACTGCTAAACTTATTGGTAATGTGGACTGATCTGAGATAAGATAAACACTATATTTGCTATTTTATAACTCTCTTTTAATGATCGTTGCGGGGTTTCCCCCCCCCCTCCGTTGGAAAAAAAAGTGATGCCATTTTCTTAATAGAGTTAATATGTGTGATTGGAAGAATAAACCTTTCCGGCTTTAGATGGCATTTTCGTCGCATTTATGCTTCAGGTTTTGTTGGTGGCTCCCTCGTTTCTTCAAACTAGGCTCTACAGAGGAGGGGTAGAGAGGTGATGCTGCACACAGAGGCTGGTGTGCAAGACTGGAGCACCTTTTGGGGTGGGGTGGGCAGTTGCTGGGTTTATCCCTTCCTGACACGTTTGCTTCACGTGCTCATCCTCAGGAAGGAATGTTCAGCTGAGGTTTTCTGGTTTTACGTATAGAAAAGGATGGTGCCTCTTGCATCACATTGAAGTTAATGGGAAAGTGCTGCTGATGTTGGTTCCACGTGGGATATGGGACAGAGCAGGGCATTTTAAAGGGACAGCTTCTCTTTTCTGATGATTTTCATCACCTACACAGAATCCCTGCGTGAGGACCAGAAGCAGAGGTTCTGGGAGGGTGTGGTGATGGAAGAGTCTCCTCTTTCCATTACTCAAATGCACCCACCTTTAGCAGTGATGGAGGGAAAGGAGGGATAAGCAAGCCCAACAGAAGATGGATATTGTGAAGATCAGTTTGTATCCAAGCTGTTCTTTTGTGTAACAAGCCCTCCCAGGAACTTTGCATGTTACATTGCTTTGCTTTGGAAGCTGATTTTGGAAGGAATTGTGGAAAAATGGGAATAGTTTAAGGTGTGTGGTGTAATGGTATAGCATTATTGAACAGCTATGAATTCTGTGCAGTGAGATCAAAGAGCTGTGTATGCCCATAATGTGAATTTTACAGCCATTTTGTAAAAGCTGTAAAATACCTAATATTCAGTTTGGCTTAAGGTACATTGAGGACTTCTGGTTGAAAACTCCAGACAGAGTGGTGGAGATTCTTTTACACTGTAAGCAGGAGACATTTCTTTAAGGGAAAAAAAGCACATACACCAACACCATGGAAAAGTTTATGCATACCCATTTTAAAACCCCATCCTATACATGTGCTGTAACTCTGCGCCTTTGAAATGGAAAGGTTTTAAAGTCCTGTGACCTACCAGTTTGCATCTTTTAGGTTGAATTTATTTGTGTTATTTAACAGGAAATGTTTACTGATCATAAACTACTATTGAGTCTAATGGCTTAGATTTTCACAGTATTTCCAAAATTTAAAATGTGTAGGTTGTTTGCTGTCCTCTATTGGAGATTAAGGTTAATCTCGAATAGAATTTACTTGTGTTCCGTTTTCCACAGGTATATGAAGTTTCTGGAATAGATGCCTATTTTCCCTTGTTTTTATGATTTATAGAAATGGATTAAAATTAGGGCTGGAGTTTTAGACTTCTTATACAGAATATTTTGTCTTGCCATACTGTACAAATTATTATTTTGAAGTCTAGTGTGTGTTAACCTGTGTTCACCTCTGAGCTCTTATCTGCACCTTTCTGTAAACATCTCCATGACAGCATTACATTGGTGTAGTGTGGTTTCTGATTTTGGAAGCAATTGCAACTTTCTAAGAACTCATTAAAAAATTAATCCCATGAACCACTGTTAAATCAAAATTGATTGGAAAGTGATTAAACTGTCAAAGGAGAAGAGAAACTCCCCCCACCCAAATAATCTTTCCAGAGGTTTTGGAATGCCATTAATACTTATAAAACCTTTGAAATTTATCGTACATTTTCATTGTTATTTTGGCTCAAGACAGTTACATTGACTATAAATGGTCAGAATTCGGTTATGTGTTTAAAATAAGTGGGACTTTTAGATCTTGAATAGTTGCCACTTTCACAAATCAGATACTAATATCAATAAATTCAGTTTCTGTAAAAGTGAAGGAAAAGTATTTCTTCCAGTTACATTAGACCATTGAGTTATTGAGGTTGTTTGGACACTTCAAGTTGTGATTAGTTTACTGTCAACCTAAATAAAAGTGCTGGTATTGTGATTTTTTTTTTTTTCTCTCTCACAAAGAATGGTATGAAACTTACTTCATGTTTGGGTTT